CCCCCCCCCCCCCCCCCCCGCTTTATGAAACCAGGGACCCGCACCCCCATGGCCATTCAGCCCAGCTAGTCCGTGCTAGCTCTTTATTAGAGAAACGAATTAGTCGCATCATCGACTATCGACGTAAAACCGGGCCTGACGGCACTTTGACATATGGTGCCACACAAATGGAAATCTACCTGACTCAGCCTTGAATACATTCAATTACCCAGACCATAGGGCTAGCTAGGGTGGAGAATGCTAAAGATTAATGACAGGAGAAATTCCTCCATCTGAAGTGGAGAGCTCTTTGTCCCCCACTTCTAGGTAGCCCCCATGATGGGAATATTTTCTCAGCATCTGTGTCAACTTGCTCCTAATATTGTATATTTCAATATCTTATGTCATTCTTCTAAGTTCCTTGGTGTGGTTTCACATGTAGAATTGTAGCAAGACTTTCTTCCATTCTTGTAGATACTAAGGATTATAAATATCAGATGATTGCACAAAACACTTATAGACTTTCACATGATACCATAGTATCTATTTGCTTACAGGCCTTGGCTACTAGGAATTTAGGAGCAGGACTAGGCTGTTCAATCCTTTGAGCCTGATCCTCTATTTCTTAATAACTTGGCTGATCTAATAGTGGTCTCAGTTCCACTGTCTTGTGCACTAACATCCTTGACTTCCTTGTTGATCAAAAATCTAGTTAACTCAACCTTGAATAAATTCAATGCCCCGGTCTCCACGGTCTCCCAACCCAACTGGTTTCATGAGCTGTCCCATAAATAAAAGACTTGTGAGCGGCATTCCCTCCAATTTTCTTTTGGGCTGCAGCTCTGTGAGGCCCGTGTACAGCAGAGACTTCTGGAACTGAATGTTGTAGGTGCGATTGGCATGCCAATACCAATCAGTATGCATGGAATAGCTGTCTGTGTCCAGACGTGCAGCTAGAGGAAACGTTGCTTGTAAGCCCTTTCTTTAGCAACCTACTGTCCCTCTTCCAACCCTTTTTTATCCTCCAAAAAGTGTTAAAAGTGTTATTCATCCGCCCTCCCCAAAACAGTCAGGTTAAATTATCCCTTGTCACTCTTCCCATCTGTAGCCTTTGGTACATTGATCTCCTCCTTTTGTCATACAACTTGGAGGCACAGTGTTTATCTTGATGCAAAGGAGGTGGTGGGGAAATTGGTTAGAATTGTACAAGATTATGACAAATTTAGATAAGATGTAGAAATGCTGTCACTGTTCGTGGACAGTATGGGATGCAGATTTAGGGCTTTAGACAAAAGGTGGGCATTTGAGGAAGAGATCTCTTATACAGTGAATGATAATGATTTGAATTTCCATCTCATTGGAAATGGAGATGGTCAATGATTTTAAAAGACCATTGGACAGACACTTAAGGGAAATAAACTCAAAGGATGAAGCAGATGAAAAGGACTGACTGGATTGCTTTCCCAGTGTGCCAGTCTGAATTTTAAAACCAGGAAAGAAGGACCTGCATTTATACGGTGAGAGATAGCAAGATGCTGGAGTCAGAGATAACACAGTGTGGAGCTGGAGAAACACAGCAGGCCAGGCAGCATCAGAGAAGCAGGAAAGTTGACCTTTCGGGTCAGGACCCTTCTGAAGAAGGCTGCTGACCCAAAACATTGACTTTCCTGCTCCTCTGATGCTGCCTGGCCTGCTGTGTTCCTCCAGCTCCACACTGTGTCATATCTGTATTTGTACAGTGCTTTTCATTGATGTTTGAAACCACTTTACAATACATTTTTGTAGAGCTGTCATTGATGTAGTACAGGAAACCGAGCAGCCAATTTGTGTATGGTAATGTCCCACAAACAAGTAATGATCACAGTCTATTTTGTAAAGTTAATTGAGGAAGAAATACAGGCCAGGACATAAACTCCCTTACTCTTCTTTGAAATACTTAAATGGGATCTTATACACCTATCCAATCAGGCAGATGGAGCTTTGGTTTAATGTTACAATAGAAAGACAGTAGCTCCAAAGAAAGTACCTTGGAACTATCCTGGAGTGTCAACATTGATGTTTGTGCTCAAAGCCTGCAATGGCACTTGAAACCAAAATGTTTTGATTCAGAGGCAAGAGTGCTACCAAATGACTTGTGATTGTTTAAGGTGGTTCCCTACTACCTCTTTTGTCTTGGGTCTGTCCAGTGATTAGTGGTATAGGATGCACCGCTGTGGAGAATCAAGAGATGGGGCATTGTTCTTGGGTAACAAGCAGATTTATTGCACGATTGCAATAAGTACAATATTTTGTCAGACATAATTACTGGGACTTTAGTGAGCTGGTCCAGATACATCTGCTCCCTCTGAAAGTTAGAACTCCTTGTCTCCACCCACTGACCTTATGTGACATCAATAGAATGGGTGGGACCTATGTAACATAAACTAACCCAATTAAGAACCAGAGATAGTAGGAACTGCAGATGCTGGAAAATCTGAGGTAACAAGGTGCAGGGCTGGATGAACACAGCAGGCCAAGCAGCATCATAGGAGCAGGAAGGCTGACGTTTCGGGCCTAGACCCTTAATCAGAAATGCGGGAGGGGAAGGGGGTTCTGAAATAAATAGGGAGAGAGGGGGAGGCGATAGAAGATGGATAGAGGAGAAGATAGATGGAGAGGAAACAGACAGGTCAAAGAGGCGGGGATGGAGCCAGTAAAGGTGAGTGTAGGTGGGGAGGTATGGAGGAGATAGGTCAGTCCAGGGAGGACGGACAGGTCAAGGGGGCGGGATGAGGTTAGTAGGTAGGAAATGGGGGTGCAGCTTGAGGTGGGAGGAGGGGATAGGTGGGAGGAAGAAAAGGTTAGGGAGGCGGGGACGAGCTGGGCTGGTTTTGGGATGCGGTAGGGGGAGGGGAGATTTTGAAGCTTGTGAAATCCACATTGATACCATTGGGCTGCAGGGTTCCCAAGCGGGATATGAGTTGCTGTTCCTGCAACCTTCGGGTGGCATCGTTGTGCATAACGGGTACAGCGGATGCAGTATACCACATTAGCACATGTGCAGGTGAACATCTGCTTGATGTGGAAAGTCTTCTTGGAGCCTGGGATGGGGGTGAGGGAGGAGGTGTGGACCACTCTCTCCGTGACTCCCTTGTCCGCTCCACACTCCCCTCCAGCCCCACCACACCCGGCACTTTTCCCTGCAACCGCAGGAAGTGCTACACCTGCCCCCA